AGCAATCAGCACACACAGTGCTCAGATACTGGTCTCTAAATACCACCCTCCACCGCAAGGAAGCAGGCTCCTGGGCGCCACTGCGGGTGAGGGCAGGGGAAGCACAAGAGGCACCTGGACACCTCTCACGCTTACAGGACGAGGGCAACGTTTCAAAAGGATATAGGAAACCGCTTGAAGAAGCTTCCACTGACCAAATCTAGAAATAACGAGAGCATTGATTACAACCCTCTGAATACAGCAGGAATCCATGCGTCCATACACAGTGATGAATGAATGCATGAATGAATGAGGACGGAGGGAGGGAAGGAGGGAGGCTCTTCTTCACGGCAGAAGGCAACCAGTAAATGTGGAAGACGTGATGGAAACTGAGCATCGTGACCTGGCCCCCAGCCTGGCGGTCCTGACGCAAGGGCAGTCTGCAAGGGTGCTAAGGCCGGGTGAGGGGTGATGGGAACAGAGTACCTGCGTGACCCTGGAGTGCCTCCTTACACAACACTGATAAGCGCTAAGGGACTAACTGACTACACAGTGGAGAAAGCTGCTTTCTCAGCCAGGCAACTTAACCAGGTGATCAAGGCTAAGATCACCTAGTGACGCCAAGGGTCATCCTACAGAACAAGAGACCTGCCCTCTTCAGCACTGTCAGGAACGGGGAGACTGGGAAGAGGTTCACGCCACAAGCCAGCCGGACACCGCACACGCCTGGATCAAAGAGAAACCAGGACAGGCGGTGAAGTGGGAGCAGGTCTGGGGACCCTGGGGCATCAGGGCTGATTTCCCGATGCGGGGGGATGGGTGCAGTAGTAACACAAGAGAACGTCCAGCGTTGTCAGCATTTAGGGGTGACAGAACATCCCACACGCGTACTTGTGTGTGTAAAGAGGGGGTGACGAGGGCTTCCCTGGTGACGCAGTGGTTGAGCGTCCACCTGCCGACACAGGGGACGCGGGTTTGTGCCCCGGTCTGGGAAGATCCCACGTGCCGCGGAGCGGCTGGGCCCGTGAGCCATGGCCGCTGAGCCTGCGCGTCCGGAGCCTGTGCTCCGCGACGGGAGAGGCCCCAACAGTGAGAGGCCCACGTACCGCAAAAAAAAAAAAAAAAAAAAAAAAAAAGGGGGTATCAAAATAAAGGTGGTAAAATGTTCAGAATTGAGAATCTGAATGGAGCTTTTTACACTGTTCTTACAACTTTTCTGTATGTTTGAAACTACTCTAAATCAAAAGAAAAACATTTTGAAAAACACTGATCGTTATATTCTGGGAAGAAGATGCCAGGGGCGTCAAAGTTTCTTTGAATCTTCCCAAAGGCCATAAAACACACAGCAACTAGAAAGCAAAACCAAACGCCAGCAGACAACATGTACAACATGTACAACATGTACAACATGTACAACCAAGCCGGTGAAGATGGCCCGCGAGCAGCCACAAGCCTATCTGAAAACCGTGCAGGAAGAGCAGTGGGGCAGCTGCGAGGCCCCAAGGCCCCCAGGGGCCAGCGGGTGTTCACCGGGAGGAGTGGCAGGTTCACTGGAGAGCAGCAGCTACAGCCAGGAGTTCTCTCCTCTCAGCAGCAGCCTCGCCACTAGGAACTCTGCCTCCGACCTGCCAGGGCCCCGCAGCACAGGGCCTCACGCAGAAGAGAACCTGCGAGGAGCGAAATTAAAGCTGAGCAGGACAGTCCGGGACCATGGAGGCAAGAAGGTCCAGGTGAGAGTCAGGGAGCAGCAGAGCCTGACGTCTCAGACAGCAAGTTCGTCACCACGCGGAAACAACGGAAGAGGAGCTCAGTGAAGCTGGCAAACCTGCAAACCACCTCCTCCTAAAGGCTCAAGACAGCAAAATTCACATAAAAGTGAACCACAGAGAGGTCAGGTCCCAGAGAAGCTGCCCTAGGAAAAAAAGAGAATAAGGAGCAGAACAACATCCCTACAGATGATCAGAAACTGCAAAAAGACGTAATCAAAACGAGATCAAAACTGCTATGTTCTATTTCCAAACAAGCTAAAAGACACTGAGAAAATGATAAGAAGCATGAAAGAATAACATAAATCAGAATCAGCGAAACTCAGAAATGAGGTGACAAAGGCAAGGAAACATCAGAAACAAAAGAAAATTTCACCTGAGAAATGAAGACTCTCCACGAAAAAGAACACAAGAGCAAACAAACGCAACAAATGATACCTGAAGAAGGAATTAGAAGAGCGAGAAGCATAAACAGGGTAAAAGTTTTTAAAAGAGAGACTGAAAGGATTAAAGAGAAAAGCACCAATACTGACGGCAGATACAAAAGATACAGCGTCCGAGTAACAGGAATCTCCGAAGAGGAAAACAAGAACAAAGAAAGCATTAAAGAAAACGTTCCTGAATCCAAAGAGGGTTAGCTGCATGAAAGAACACAGCCTCTCCCTGAGGACGCCAACCCAAGACAGCCAACTCCAAGTAAAAGGCTGGGCTTTAAGGGAAAAGAATTCTGTGGGCATCTTTGGGCAGAAAGAACACATGAGAAACACAAGAGAAATAAAATTAGACTATCATCAGACTGACAGCAACCTTCCATACCAGGAAAAAAATTATCGAGTTGTAACTATTTACTCAAGATAGATTCTCAAGGAAAGAAAACGTGAGCCACGGCTCTTCTAGCCATCAAAACCGCCATCGACATGCACAAATACGGGGAACGCAGCCCCCACGAAACATTCCAGAAGAATCCAACAGACGAGATTCAGAAAACCAAATGACTAAACAGACATCCACACAGACTTGTAATTAGCATTAAACATAAAGTTACTTATGGAACTAAGATGAAGGGTCCAGGGAGAGAGGACAGCGCGAAACAGCCGTGTGATGTAAGCAAAACACATGCATGAGCGGCAGTCCTCGCTGGAGTGTAGCCCACCCGACGCTCTCCCTCCCAGCATCCGGCCAAGTCGCCAAAGGCCCTTCCCTGGGAGTAAGGATCATACCCTACGTAAGACCCACCCCAACCAAGCCTAAAACCTGCACAGGGAAGGCAAGTCTGCAGGGTGAGCCCCACTGGGTGAGGGAGCTCAGAAACACCATGGGATTTCCACAGACCCTACTCAACACCAAAGTAAGACACACAAGTTCAAGATGAGCAGCCAGGAGCTGAACTAAAACAAGAGTCAGTACTCTTCAGAGGATGACGACATGTCATCCACAAAATCCAGCATCCAAGCGCCAATGGCTAGACATGCAGAGAGACAGGAAACCATGACCCACGGTCAAAGGAAAAAGCAGTCGACAGAGACTGAATCGAGACGCCCCCGATGTCGGACTTGACAAAACCATGAGAGAAGCTTTTACAAACAGGTTCAAAGAATGCTGGGAAAATGTGACCTCAGTACGTGAGCAGACAGGGAAATCTCAGCAAAGACTCAGCAGCCATAAAAAAGACTTAAGTGGAAATCCCAGAACTGCAGATACATCGACAAATGAAAACTTCACTGGACAGACTGCAGAGCTGACTGGAGAAGACAGGGAATCTGAAGACAGATCAGTAGAAATGATCCAGTCCGAACAGAGAAAGAAGTGATTAAAGAGGGACAAATACAGACTCAGAGACCCACAGGGCAATATCAAAAAGATCTAACAGAGGTCTCACTGGGAATCCCAATAGAAAAAGACTGAAACAGAGAAAGTTTTGAAGAAATAAAGGCCAAAGTGTTGCAAATTTGAGGAAAACTACTGACCTACAGATCCAAGAAGCTCAGAGAAGCCCAAGCAGAGTGACTAGCAAGAGAACCAAGTCTAAACACCACACGGACGAACTTCAAAGAAGTAAGACGATCGCCTCAAAACAGCTGGAGAAGTGACTCACGTGACAGACAGGAAACAAGGACTGAAATCACAGTGGGGCCCTGAACACGATGGAACAACGTCTCTAAGGACAACGACGGTCACGCGTTTACGGCTGTTTTCAGGTCTAAGAATAAGAGCTCTGCAATTTTGCAAAACACATTGGGAAATCTCCCATCTTTTTTGTGATCCGGAACAAGATAACATGTCTAAATGAGAATAGGAGTTTCCCTGGAAAAGAGAAAGAGACCAGCAGTTAAGACAGGATTCAAGGAGTAGAGGAAAAACGTGAAGGATGGCTAAAATTCTTACAATCACTCATCCCTATTAGTCGGTCATTCTATAAAGTTAAGTGATGTATGTCTGGATCTGCTCGGCTTATTCAAGAACGTGAGAGAAAATTACATATTAAGCTAAGTTAAAAAAACAGAGCTGAAAGAAAAAAAAAAACTGTCAACATTCAGGGAAAACTTCATTCAAACTTTTGAGCGTGAAATACAACCATTTTCAGGTAAACAAAAGCTGAAAGAATCCATCACCAGCAGATTGCACTACAAGAAACGCTAAATGCTGTCCTTCAAGCCAAAGGGAAATACCACAGATGGAAGCCTGGAACTTGGGGAAGGAACGAAAAACACCAGAAATGGTAAATAAGCAGGTAAATATAAAAGACGATGTTTTCTTTCTTCCTGTGATTTACTAATAAAACAACCGGCAGTTTAAAGAAAAAATAACAATACTTTAAAGTTGGGTTTGTAATTACACATAAAGACACGACAGCAAACAAAACAAGAAACTAACAAACTTTGGACAAACGGAAACAGGCAACAACCACCTTCACGTTAACCCCAGTACCCAGGGAGGACGGTCAGCCCCACAAAGGCCAGTCTTCGGACGGAATCTCCCCATATTCTCTTCGAAGTCAGTCTAAATCTCATCGTGTTAAGCTACAGTGATCAAACTTCCTCATGCAAAGAACTTCTTGCTCACATGATATCCACAAATAGGTTGATTTGAATATAAAGTATCGAAGGTACCGAGAAAACAAGTACTCCAAGGGCGGTGAGACAACATGTGCGCGAACGACAGCCCGTGCTCGGCGTGCCTGACTCCCTGAAGAGGCGAGCGGGACGCAGATGCCCCGAGGCCCTTCCAGCCCCCGTCCCTGCATCCGTGCGGTACCTCTACTCCCGATCCCGGTGCCGGAGAGTCCACTTTCCTCTTTTTCCTGGGCCCGATGGCAGCCAGTGCTGTGAGGTTGGCATCTCGCTGCCTCATCTGTGCCAGTTCTTGTTGCTGCATCTTTGTTTTGAAAAGGAAAACAGGGACTGTCATTTCACGCACTTTTTTTATTACTACAAAAGTAATACATAGACACCAAAGGGTTTTCTAAACTTTCCTAAATGAAAATTTCATTTGGCTGTTTTTTTTTAAACAGCAAGCATATTGTGCAATCAGAAAAACAGTAAAGCAATAGATGCTCACCTTAAAAAGCTCAGATCTGAGCAAATCGTGAGAGTACAGAGACTGCACTGCACCACATGAGAAATTACCGTGAAGTTTAAAAGCACAGGAAAACACTTTTGCAAACACCATAAATCGCTACGGGAAGGCCTATTGTGCAGAGATACCATCGCCTTCTCAGCCTCTCTCTCTCTCGTTAGGTGCTGAGGTTGAACACAAACGTATTTTCAAGTGTGCAGTGTAGACTCTTGGACTGGAAACGCTTACCTCCTTTGCCTTCTGTTTCAACCTTAACTGCTCTGGATCTTCTTGTCTGGACCGAGACTATTTTCAAACAGGTAAAAAAGAAAGATAAGTTGTGACCTAAACGTTCATCACCCGACAAACATGTCATCTTATACGTGACATGATGACATCTAAGTCACGTGACAGAACGCATTAAATTTTTAAACGTTTACAGCCAACGGATGAAAATTTATCATCATGAAAATCAATACCATTTGGATGTAAGAACCACGCCATGGTCCAATGTGACGTGAGGACGGTGGGCCAGGGCAGCCCGCAGGGCTCCGGGCTCAGTTAAGGGACCCGCCCCACGTGCTGGGCGACCTGCTGAGGTCTGGAGGCTTCCCGCCCCGGCTGCGCTCCTAACCCCGCGCACGTGTCATCGAGGCCAGCGCCAAACCCTGCTCCGGCTCCTCGAAACCCCAAGGGTGTCCGCGAGCGCCCAGGGTGGACAGGGGAAAACTGCGTGCAGCACGAGCACTTGCCTTTGCTGCCCGCATCAAGATCTCTCTCTCCTGTTCGTCCTTTCTCTGTTTCTCAATTTGATCAAGCTGTTCAAAAAATTTGAGCTGAGCCCGGACATCACTTGCCTGCTCGTATCTGTCATCATCCTAGAAAAAAGTGAAACGACTGTTTGTCACGAACTTGGGAACCCAGCCGGACAGTCCGCGCACCGCTTCCCGCCCCCCTCGGCCCACTCCCCAGGCGGCGCGCAGACCCAAGCCCCTCTCGTCTCCAAGACTCTGCTTCTGAAGTGCTCTGGACGTGCACACGCCGCCTCAGGTAAGTCATCCGGGGGCTCGCAGGCAACTTTCCATTTTATACGCTTTGGTATCATTTGACTCTTCTAAGTTACATTTTAAATTTTTTTCTAATAGCGTAAAAAGTATTTTTAAAGCCAAGTGGCTACAGGCTTGTACTTCAAACGCTGCTCGGGCAGTGCCTGGCCGCTCCACGGTGCCCCTGAAAGAGGGTTTGCGTGACTGAAGAGGAAGGCGGATTCTGCCTGGAATCTGCTGTGAGAGGCCGGGCCTCCACAGCACACGACAGGGCACCACTCTGAGTCACGGGAGCGCGGGTGAGCCAGAGCCCCTCGGGTCTGCAGGGACAGCTCGGGCCGCAGCTGCTGGGAGCCCCCCGCGTGGAAACGGGCGGGAGGCTCCACCTTCTCCAGAGCTGAAGATGCCACCAGCCCGGACCCAGAAGGCTGGCTCCCTAACCCGGAGGTCAGATCCTCCGCACCCTCCTTCCACAGCCCAGTGGGTAGCGCCCGGAGCACCACGGGACTGAAAGAAGTGGCATCTTCCCAAAATCTCGTTCTGGGGAAAACTCAAAACGAGCTCAACACTCTGCCGCTTCCCCTGTGCCCTCCAGGCAGCACCAGACCCGGGAGCGCCGACAGGGCATCCCCTCCAGGAAACAGCGGGTTACCTTATAAGAGAAGTTCTTTTGCTGAGCCGTTTCTGATATCTTTTCTACAAGGTTCTGCAGCCTCTGTTGCGTGGCGTGTGACACGTAACTCACCACGTCTGGGTGTAACTCTGTTATGCCGTGTTTCTTACCTGGGGAACAGGCGGTATTTTACAATCACTGAAGTTCTTTTCTTTCCTTCACTGTTTTTCCCTTATCCCCCAGTTACCACTTTGTGCAACCTGAGGGTCGGGGGTGGTCTACACCTGCTCCAACTACCTGAGAACGTCACCGCCAACCCCACGGAAAGCACAACCCTGGCAAAACAGGTGACAAGGGACAAGGGGTGTCCCCCCAAGCCCAGGACAGCTCCGTGCTGAGCACCGCAGCCGTGGTCCACACCAGGCCCACTGGTGGAGGCCGGACGCCCAGGGCCATACCTATTTCCAATATTCTTCTTTGCAGAGGCGCCGGGAGGAGGAAGGTCTCGTCTTTGCAGGACCGCGTCAGGGTGCCCACTAACTCAGAGTTCGTAGCCAATATTCTCGCACTTTCTTCCGACAGGTTCACGCCGGCCATCGACGCTACGTCATTGATGTCATCGTCGTCCCTTCAGGAAAGAAGAGGAGGTGGGTCTAACGAACGAAGGGCCGCCAACTCGGCGGGCAGAGGGGCGGCTCTCCCGCGCTGCTGTCACCTGAGCACAAAGGCGGTCATCTGCGAGCGAATCTGTTCTTTTAAAGGAAGACCCACCCCAAGGTACGGCAGAGTGGGAGTCTCTGCACACAGATGTCAATGCCAAGTTCACAGAGAGCACAGCACCTACTCACTGCTTCAAGGAGTTTGTTCTGTGAAACCCTTTTTAAATGATCTCACAGCATTATTTTTAATACGATCACAACCTCTCAGAAAAGCTGGAAGAACAGTACAAAGGAGAGTCCGTGAACCACTTGAGGGTGAGCGGCCGACCTGACACCCAACCCCCAACCCCCCGGACACGGCAGTGTGGCTCCCTGTGGACAGAGGCACCCCTACGGAACCGGGGGGATGGCCTTTGAAACCGGGCCACCAGCCACGCCCAGACCCCCAGCTTTGGCTAACGGTCCCTATAGCGGCTCCCACAGCAAAGGGTCCGGCTCAGAACCACGAGCTGCGTTTTGCTGCCACGTCTCTGCAGCCCCTCCCTGACTCTCGTGCCCCTGACACCTGGAAGGTCCCAGGCCAGCTGTTCTGCAGCGCGTCCTCGTTCTCCCTCTGCCGGACGTCCCTTTGTGACGAGCCGCGGGCAATGCACCTTTGGCAGGAATTTCACACGAGTCAGGGGCCTTGCTCACCCTGCACACGGAGCTCCCGCGCAGCTTCCCTGCGTCGGGGCGCCCCTCCCTCCCTGTGTAGTTACGAGGACCTCGGGGGAGGTGGTCTGAGACTGTGCAAATCCCGTTCCCCTAAACCACCCACTGACTCGTTTCTAGGGGCTCGGGTTCCTGTCTTACCCACAGGTACAATGTCACTACAGACACAGCTGGCAGGAGGGGGCCACTTGGGGGCTTCTGGGAACTCTGACGCTTGAGCACTGCTCTCTGACCAAACAAAGTGCACTAACTCGTCCTGCACCCTCGCGACTCCGGCCTGGAATCAGCACCCCCCTAAGGCACCCTGGTCACCGCGGCGGAAGCAGTTTTAGACGAGACCTGGGCGCTGGGTGTGCTGCTGCCATCATGGTGTCACCAATCCCAGGCCCCTCCAGTGGCAGAGCGGGTGGCTCCAGCCACAGCTTTTCCAGAGTATTCACAGCCGGACGCCCGACCCGACCCGACCCGACCCGACCCGACCCCACCGGCTCGCCTCGCTTGCTCCTCTGTGTTTCTAACTCGCTCACACCTGCAGGTAGACGCATCTTCCCATCTCCGCCACCCGCCCTCTCCCTCGTGGATGTCCTCCCCACCCCTGTGGGCCCCCACCCTCCGTGCCAGACTGTGCCAGCCACCCATCTCCTTGCCCTGCCTGGAAGCCGACCCAGGCTCAGGCCACCACGGCTCCAGCACTGCCAACACCTGCCCTGCTCCCTAACAGCTTGAGGGACGAAGCTTCTGGGAAGGGAAGGGAAGGACCACCCAGGTCCCCCGACACACGCACTTTGCTACTGCTGGATCCGAACCAAAGTAGCCACTGTAGCCCTTCCTATGGCGGTGCTCAGACCAGCTGCTCGTCAAGAGACCAAAGCACAGCATCTCTGAAGGTTCTGAGGTTGAAAGGAGGACACAGAAGCGTCCTCTGTCATGACTGTGATGCACTCAGAAGACTGAGCCATCGTATCACAGACACAAATCTCCCACTGGTCCGCGCGGAAAGTCAGCTGCTCTGCCATCCCGCCCTGTGTCTGCGGCAAACGTCCCTGAGCCGCTCTGTGGGAAAACACGCACACAGCGAGCGCGCGCACGTGCGTGTGTGTGTGTGTGCGCGTGTGTGCGTGTGTGTGTGTGCGTGCGTGTGTAGGGAATGAACGCAGCCTCAAAGCACCAACGGCCACCGGGTGAGGCCCTTCCCTCCGGGCGCCTCCTGAGCCAGGGCTCATTCCTTACCTAAACGAGCCTCCCCCGGGCTCCTTGAGCTTGTTTTTCTGTGCAGCAGCTGCTTGTGCTGAGACAGTAGAAAGAGCTTTGGTTCCAGGTAACACGGCAGGTTTCACCACAGGGACTGCAAAACAAGAGACGAGGGTATGCCCCCCGTGCACAGACTCGGAGATGGAGACACTGCCGTCCCCGGTGCTAGGCGGGCTGCAGGGAGGGCCACTACTCCCAGCCCACCACAAGGAGGCTTCCTAAAACGTCAGAAACGTTGCGTTACTAACTCTAGATTAGAGTAAAAGCATAAGCAGCATCTCTCACGCATTTGCCTTCCTGTAGCTCATCAAACTCTTTGGAATGTAGGAACGACTACTCGTTAAGAACCCAGTCCTGAATGTGTAATTGTAAAAATCGTACTGACGGGGCGATGCCCGTACAACCCTGTGAACGTACTAACGCCACTGAATTGTACACCTGTTCACGTGACTAAAATGGCCAAGTCTGTGTTACGTGAGTTTCACCACAATTAAAAAAACAGGGAGACAGGGCCCTGGGGAGAGCGGCCCGGCCGCCGGCCCTCACCTGGCTGCAGCTGGTTCAGCTGGATCTGCTGGGGCGTGGTGAGCACGATGCGGTTGTGGGGCTGCCGGAGCGCCACCATGGGCGTCTGTGTCAGCGTCACCTGCGGCGGCCGGATCAGCGCTCCAGGCTTGGGAGGCGGCTGGATCACCTGGAGCAGAGCCCACGGGGCACGTGAGCTCACGTCCCACCCCCGCCCCCACCGCAGAGGGGGCTCCCACACCTGTTCCCTGCCCAGGGCGGGGGGTGGGCAGCCTTCCGGGAGGACCAGGAGGGTCAGCCGGGGGCACTGCATCAGGCTGCAAGCTCCTGGGGGCAGATTAACTGCTCGGAAGCCACACATGGGGCCCTGAGGCCAGCGCCTGGAGGACAGTGTTTGCTGAGCTTGCGAACCAGTGTGGAACAGACGATTTCTCCCCAGATGTGAGCACAGGTGCCGGGGCGCCCCCTCAGATCCCTTCCAGAGCCTCTAGGGCTGGATCAGAATCCAGCTGCTGAACTTTACGAAGGTCGCCTGGTGGGCACACTCTTAACGTTACAGCGCACTCGGGGAGGGATGGGTGGTGCCCAGGGCCGAGCTATTTCTGCAACAAAACCTATGAAAATTCACACTGTCCAGAACGAGCAGACACACGACTGCCTGCAGGAGGTTCAGGCCAAGTTTTGCCACAAACTCAGGGAAGAGCCTCCAGGTTTCACGTCTCTACGGCCTTCAAGGGAAGCAGGTGATGGACCGGTGGTGCCCGACTCTGCAAGGGCGCGGCAGAGCTCCACCCCTCCAGTGAGGGGCATGCGAGCGAGCCCTGATCTCACACCTGCACTTTGGCCCGAAGCGCGCGCGCACACACACACACACACACACACACACACACACGGCTCCACCTCCCACGGGAGCCTGTCTTCCTCACCACCAATCAAGGCAAGAACAAATGCAGATTTTAACTTGAGCAGGTGAGAGACCACCACCTTCATGACTCTGATTGCCCCCCTGGTTATCACTCGAGCATTATCGTAAGATACACTCCACAACCTACGAAAGTGACGTGAGGACCTGCGTTGTTTTAATTTTTTTTAACCGTCTGTATAGGAACAAAATCCCTTTGAAATGTTAAAAAAAGAATAGCAAGTGCCTTTCTACACTGGGCGAACCCCGTCTGCCTGCAGGAGCGCGCTCAGTCCTGAACTCTTACTGGGCGAACCCCGTCTGCCTGCAGGAGGCAGGAGCACGTTCAGTCCTGAACTCTCCCCAGCAGACACCCTTTTCTATAGCTACACGACCAGAACCCTGGATCCCAACCACAGATAAATCCACCGTCAGCAGCCGTGCCTCCCGAGGATCTCCGAGCCCCAAACGACGGCTGCAGAGCTCGGTCCTAGACCATGAAACCTGACGTGTCCAGCGCCAAGCACTTAGCGTCAGCTTCGTGTATTTGGGCCATTGCTCCTAATCAAAGATAACGTCCAGCTAAAAGATCCACTACAAACACACTGTGTCCATTTAAACCAGGGACGCCCCAAACAGCACAGACAACGGACGTGCCAAAGGGCAAAAGTCAGTAGGCTTATTTCGTTTTACTGAGAAATAAATTTCGAAGCTGCAGGGCCTCGGCCCCTGGCTGACACCTCACTATTTCAGATCCCGCCCCAGGTCCTCCCTGACAGTCTCTCTGAGCCGCGGGCGGCCGGGCACGTGCGGGGGAGCAGGGCGAGGCTCTGGCCTCCATACCAGCGGCGTGGGCTGCCCCTGCTTGCCGACGCCCACCGGCGTGGGCTGCGTGAGGCTGATGACAGGGGGCTGGAGGGCGCTGGTCACGGTGGCCGCCGTCTTCCCGGCCGTGCGCTGCACCGAGCCGCTGAGCACCACAGCCGTGAGCGCGGTGGTGGCCTGCGAGGCCGGTGGCGGCTGCTGCTGACTCTGCTGGATGAAGGCCGCGGAGTCGGGGGTCAGCTGTCTCAAGGCGGGCAAGCTCCTCTGGGCGGAAAGACAGAAAACACACGACCCTGAGAACACGTCCTCGGCCAAACAGCGTCGGTCTGGGGCCTTAAGGAGACGCCCCGGGACGCGGGGTGCCGGCATCCCAAACCACTGTCCCCCGACTGCCGCTGAGCAGGGTTACCCTCAGTGACAACTGGCTGCAATTTGTTTAAAAAACAAAGCAGAAGCGCCACTTCTGAAATGCAGTTAAGCGCGTCAAGGCAGCCAAGGCATCTGAGCGACACCCTCGTCCCAGCAGCGCGGGGCCCCCGTCTGTGGGGAGAGGGCCCCTCGCAGTCCCCGGTGGTGACACAACATTGTGGCCTCAGTGGCGGGGGTCTCGTAACTTACAGAGAAGCCTCGAAAGAGAAAACTTAACCTTCTGTCTCAGGGGGCTTGAAACCTGCAAACGCACCGGTGACACCCGTGCAAGCCCACCCGTCCCCGGGACGCGCCCGCCCCTCCACCCGACGCTGGGTGCTCGCAGGCGGCTTCAAATTACCTTCAGGAAAGGCACAAGGTAAGGTTGAGGTGAAGAATTAAGTTCTCGGTATAACCTACTAGTGAAATCTTCTGCTTCGATTTTTCCGTCCTTAAAAATAAAATTCACATTGAAATTCCTCCACGAATACAAACGCGCACATGCATATCTTTATGCAGCATTTCTCTGGTCTCGCATTTTAGGACTGGCTGTTCCTCACGCCAGGTCCTGCACTGGATGAAGGTGCGGGAGGGCCCGGGGGCCACATGCTCAGCTGACACGGGTTCCCGGGCGTGGGTGAGGCCCCCAGCCCTCCCTGTGCCCCGCCCCATCGGGGCTCACTGGCCCACCGCACGACTTCCCTACGCCAGCTCCCACGGGACATCTACGCGGCACCTAACCCACCGCACATCAGGCATTTTGCCAGGCGACAGACTAGCCTAAAAGTACCCTCATGACCAAGTTGGAAGGTACCGCAGACCAGGGACACCCTTACCCAGAGAGACCACATCTACGCCGAGACCCCAGAGCAGCTGGGGCACCGGCGGGGAGAAGCGAGCGCCCACACGAGACGGCCCAGACCCCGCTCTGGAAACCAAAGCGAGCCAGGTGTGGGGGCTGGGGGGCCAAGCCCGTGGCTGACTGGGCCCAGTTCAAGGTGGGAGTGGCCAGGGCTGCAAAGAGGTCCTGTTACAAGGGCGGAACGGGGGTCCTGGTGCCCTGATAAGGGCGCAGCACAACGGGGACGGCACTGGGCTCATCCGGGGGTGGGGGGATGGATGGGGAGGGTCGATGAGACGAGCACACGCTTCCAGCGCCGGGGAGGGACCACAGACAAAGGACCGTGGGAAAAAAGGGAATGGCGTTTATTTAATTAGAAATTTTCATTAGAAGGTAAAATTGTTATAATTAAAACAAACAAAAAGCTGGGAGTTCTTGTTCGTCGCAGGAGGTGAGATTATTTTTCAATCTCTGGGTTTCCTGAAAAGATTTAAGGAGCATCTGAAGCGATCATTTTTCCTTGTGAGAGCGGGACTTCATTCCTTTCTGGCCCCAAACCCACATGGTCTGCAGAGGCGGCACAGAGCCAGCCCCTGAGGGTGGCTCCCCTCCAGCCCAAGCCTCGGCACGGAAGGGAGGCTGCGAGCGGAGGGTCTGAGCCGACGAACCCACCAGCAGGACAGAAAAGTCCAACAGCCCGTCTGCTGAGCCACCAGGTTTCCTTGCATAGAGAAACCGAGAGGAAAGGAAAACAGCAGGAAGGAGGGGACCCCCAGGTTACCAGCAACAACAGAGGCAGCTGCCACAGGTGGACCTGACCGACTCTGACCGAGCCCTGCAGGCAACACTGGACTCAGCCTCTGGGCACCTGGGGGCTGCGAGGGATCCTGTGTTCGCAGGTTATGTCCAGGCATCCGTGCTAAAATATTTATGAGACTGGGGAGGGGCTGTGGGTGGCAACGGGGGCGCAGCAGATGCAAAGTCATGTAAGAACTCACGACCGACGAAGCCCGCAGGTGGCCCAGAAGGGCTGTCACTCTGCTTTCCGCTTCTGTATCACTTAAAATCCTCCATGAAAGGGACTTCCCTGGTGGCACAGTGGATAAGACTTCGTGCTCCCAACGCAGGGGGCCCAGGTTAGATCCCTGGTCGGGGAACTAGATCCCACATGCATGCCACAACTAAGAGTTCCCACGCCACAACTGGGGAGCCCACCTGCGGCAACTAGGGAGCCTGTGAGCCTGTGAGCAGCTAAGACCCCGTGCAACCAAATAGATAAATATTTAAAAAAAAAAAAAATCCTCCGTGAAAAAGGCAGAGCAGGTGGAGGAGCGAGCGAGGGCCTTTGAACACCCTCCATCTGGTGAGTTTACATCGCTCCCCTGCGGCCAACACGCTGTGAGGCTCCGAGAAGCCGGGCTGGCGAGCAGATGGCAGGGTGATGGGCAGAGGGGCCCAGACTCCGGCCACACCCCACCCCCATGGCCAAGTACAGCGCTCTAAGGCAGAGGGGCCGGCGTACAGAGCTCTTACCAGCAGATTCTGTACCAGTTCTTTCACGTTAGCGGCTGTCTCTGTAGACTGTTTACCAGATGAAGCCAGTTTTATTAGCGTAGATAAAAAATTTTTACATTTCTTCACATTCTCCATAGTTTCCTGGATAGAAGTTAAAAAGATGTAAGCAAAAAACTCTTAAAAGGCAGATTTTCATCACAGCTTTTAACTAAGACATGGGTATCATATAAGAAATGTATGTTTCTGGGCTTCCCGGTGGCGCAGTGGTTAAGAATCCACCTGCCAACGCAGGGGACACGGGTTCGAGCCAAGCCCAGGGCCGGGAAGACCCCACACGCCACAGAGCAACGAAGCCCCGTGCGCCACAACTACTGAGCCTGTGCTCTAGAGTCTGCGAGCCACAACTACCGAGCCCACGTGCTGCAGCTACTGAAGCCCGCGTGCCTGGAGCCCGTGCTCCGCGACAAGAGAAGCCACCACAGTAAGAAGCCCACGCACCGCAACGAAGAGTAGCCCCCGCTCGACGCAACTAGAGAGAGCCCGTGCGCAGCAACGAAGCCCCAACGCAACCAAAAATAAATAAATAAATTTATTTTAAAAAAAAAAAAAGAAATGTGTATTTCTTTTCTTAAACTTCTTTGAGGAAAATGCAGTAACTCTCACGGCCTGATGATGGGAGTATAAACCAGGACATGTGCTCTGAAGGTCCAGACCCAAGTTTACAGCTCACTCAGCCCAGCAATTCTTTTAGAAATGTAACTAATAACCAATAAATGTAAAAAAGATGACCTATAAGACATTCACCTTGATACTGCTTACCATAAAGAAAAACTGATCCCTACCTAAGTGCACAAGAGAAGAAACTGAATTATGGCACAGATACTAAAGATGATGAAAAATACTCAGCAAAGAAACGTGAACAACGTAAGTCATAAATGAAGCACGATCCCACTGGTTTAAAGATTCACACGTGTGCAGGACAACTGCTGGAGATAAGTGTTAAGGGGGCAACGCTGCCGCTCTACAGGCCGCAACCGCCGTGCAGCCCGGCCCCCGTGTCACCCCTCTGAACACACCTGGTCCGGCTCCATCTCACAGACGTCCCCCACAGCCCAAAAGCCTCGTGTAGGGTGGTGGACCCTTCCTGCGGCCCTGCAGAGACCACTGCCCTCAGACCCACTCATATGGAGCCGTGGAGACCCCAATGCATCCCCACGTCCGCGGCAGTGGCTCCCCTGGGCCGGCTGGCGCTCTGAGGCAGCATGAACCACACATACGGCCCCAAATCGCAGCCGAGAGGCGGCACTCACCGTGGCGGCTGTGGAGGTGGTGGTGGCCCCCGGGACCGTTCGCTGAGGTGTCCCCGTCTGAACAGCTGTCGCCGTCCCAAGTGAGGGTGTCTGGGCAGCGCCACCCAGAACAAGCTGAGGCTACGAGAAGCCAAAACACAAGGTAGATAGAGGCTGCGGGGAGACGGCCTTCGTGAGACTCCCTGTAGCAGGCGGGACCCCATGGGACATGCGGCCTCAAGGGACCACACCAGCCCCGCGGCAGACCGTGTCCCCGAGGGCCACCTTCCTGAGCACCGAGGAAGCAGTATTTTGCAGCAAAAACTGACAGAAACGAAGCCAATGGCCGGGAAGAACCTGGTTGTCAGAAGTCGATCCTAGAAGTCACATGGTGACCAAAACAAATGATCTTTTAATAACCAAACCAGATCCCGTCTCAGAACTGAAAAGAACAAACAGAGAAACCAACTGAAAAGCCCGTCACCTGGCTTGTGCAGGCAGCTGGTGACAAGGAAGCCAGGACGTCACATGCACACGGGCAGGCCGCCCCCCATGCGGGGGGCGGCACCAGGACTCGTCGGGGTCCCGGGCTCCCCCACCGCTGCCGGACCAACCTTTCTTTGCTCCCCCAAAGCGAGTCACATCCAGAAACATCCTGGAAAGGGGGTGTTCAGAGCAGGCGGGGACTCGATGTAGTTGGTGTTGGGAGGGAGGGGCTGCTTTGCTAAACGAATATATTTAAGCCAACAAACAGCTAGACATCAAACAACAACTGTGCTCGGTCAAATTCCCGAGACTTCTAGTCTGCGTGACCAATCAGGATGCAAATATTTACTGTTTTTTTTTAATTAGCACTTTTCCAATTTAAAAAATGGAGCCTTCTCCAACTTTTTAAACGTTACTCTCTTACGACTTCGGAAGATAGGGGGCAGTGTAACCCCAAGCATGACTCGCCTGCGGCTCTTCTAAGCAACCAGGCCCCAGGCCGGGCAAGGGACTCAGACGGCACGGCCGCTATGGCAGGGGGTGGGTGGGCAGCTGTCTGCACCCCCAGGCTGTGGACACTGGTTTCACGGGAGGAGTTGAAAGAGATGATGGGCTCTTCCTTTATTATCTGGGTATTTTACTTGTAACGTTAAGCATGTATTACTTTTGTAACTACAAAATGGCAAATAAAAAACTTCAGAGGAGAAACGTAAAAGAACTGACCAACAGCCACCTTTGGGCAGCAAAAGGGGAAGAGCAGAGCTGCTTCGGGACACCCAGAAACAGCCAGGGCACTTCCATTCTTGGGAGTTTTCCTTTACATCAAACTTTATTCCTCACACTTGCTTCTACTGGTCAGATGAATACACGTTTCACCTGGATGATTCTGAGACTGTGGGAACCTATGTTGATAAACTTATTTTCTACTAAATCTCATGCAAAAGCTGACCATGAGCTTCACTACCTTCTCAGAAAAGGTTCCTTTCACTATAACTGAAGTTCAGATGCGCCAATCAGACTGAACTCAGGCCAGAAGACCCCGTCTCAGGAAGCGCCGTTGCCTGGGCAGCTCCTGTTGCGGGAGACCACTGAGTTCAGTTACTTGGGACCCAACTGCTCCTTCAGCTGTTCTGAAAAGCAATGTCAGGGCTGCAGACGCCAAAAGGCAAAGGAGGACAAGACCAGGGTGAGTGGAGAGAGCACTGGACGAGGTGCGGCTGCAGGGAGGCCAGGCCGAGGCCACACTGGGACAGGGGTCCGGAGCCTCTCACACCGCACGTGTCCGTGCCCATCAGGGAGGGGTGTTGTGAGAATCGCACGCATGAACGCACATACACAGTGAGGACACATCCTCCTCGGTGCAGGAACAGTTCGCGAGCAACACACGCGCGCGCACGCACACACACACACACACACACACTCTCTCTCTCTCTCTCTCTCTCTACCCCCCCCCCACCCTGCGCGCTGCAGATCTTCTCTGCTTCACAGATGCAGTTACTAAGGCAACGTTTTCAATTGTACTTCCGGCACAGTGGGAAGCTTTTAAGAATGTTGCTGGTGTTAAACTCTACGCGACTTTAAAGAAAAGCAACTGATCTACGCTGTGTTCCCCAAACTCCAAAACTTAGCATCCAGCACCCAAACTCGCGAGGCCTGAGCCCTGCGTCCTGGGCACCACGGAGCCCCAGCCTCACCTGAACCCCGGGAGAGCGCTGCAGCGCGGTGCTGGGCTGTACCGTCGTCTGGGCCTGAGACACTTGCTTGATTATGGTCGTTGGGGTCACCTGCCGTGCAATAATGGGGGTCCCAGGTGCCTGAAAAACAAGGAGGAGTCGCCTAGAAGGAGAGACAAGTGAAAGTAGTTCCCAGCACCTGGCGCGCCCAACACTCCATCCTTTAGTACAGAGCCAGCGCGCTCAAGGGCCCCCAGGTCGATCACCAGCCTCAGGGAAGCCACCCTACGTCTAAACTTTCCTTAACAAGTAAAAGTGTATGATCGGAACCTCCATCGTATAAACTGTAATACGCTCCTTAATAAAGTCTCCGACCTGGTCTTTAAGGAACGCGTATAACCTGGGAAATCAATACTTGTGTGGATTTCTTGTATTCTTGGCCACAAGCGCCAAAAAAGTAACAAAGGCACTACAGTAAGAGGCATGTGTTCCCTGGGCCTAAAGGCTGGTCACTGTGCTGCAGAAAAGGAAGTAAACGAGACACTTACAGTGAACTGTCCTACATAGTTAGGGTACATGAAGTGAAATATCCCACATCTGCGTCTTACTGGACAGACCTCGACAGACCCTGAACACTGCTCTGGGCTGCTCTGGATTTTCAGTCAGGGGAGGGCCCTTTGTGAGTCCCCAGTCTACAGCACAGGGGTCTCAACTCCAGAGGAACGCGGCTGAAATCAAAGGAGAATAGAGTTTTCCAGATCTTCTTCGTCTCCATGTTAGTCTCTAACCAGCCAACTGGCTCAGAACAGCAGAACGGCAGCACGAGACAGAAAGGCATCAGAGACAGAGTAGGGAGTAGGGAGGTGATGTGAGGGCATGGACCCAAATGGAGACTGAGAGGCAGAACCCTGGGGGGAGGGGCGAGTCCCAGGCACTGGGCTTCAAGCATCCAACCCATCCTCCCTCCACAACCCCAGGGGGCCACAGCCTCAGGGGTCAGGGCAGGCAGTAACCCCTAAAGGCTTCAATGTCTGCGGGGGAGAGGGGAGTACTGTTTAACATAATCCTGTAAAGTTCTTCCACGCCTCCCTGGTAGTGACGGCTGACACTTGCTCAGCATTCCCTCTGTTCCACTGTCCTAACTGGTCCCCGTGACAGCCCTACAAGAGCAGCACCGGCGGGATCTCCACGTTGCACAGGAGGAAACTGAGGCCCGGGAAGGTGGCGTCACAGGAGAGAAGGGGAGGGCCCAGGCGGGGTCCAGGCGGCAGACCCCAAGCTCCTCCCGCCGCATGTGGGCCATGCCACACCCCCTGCCCCGCCCCACCCCGCCCCCCACCCCACCCCCCGCCAGGCCCAGCGCTGGCTCGCACTCACCTGCACGGTGGAGATCTGCACGGGAGGGGCACTTGTGGGCGTGGCCGGGCGGGGCGCCATGGCGGTCTGAGGCTGGGCCTGGGCGTGGGCCTGGGCCTGCATCTGGGCCAGGGCCTGCTGAGGAATCATTAACAGCTGCCCGTTCTCGCTCCGCACGAGGACCATACCTGGGGGAGGAGAGCTGGCATCGGGAAACACGCCCCAGGGCCGGACTCCATGGGGGAGCCCGGCAGCTCAGAGGAGGCAAAAGGAGAAGCTGTCAAACACAGTCGCAGAACTCTATACACACCTGCGAGAAAGAGGGTCCGCAGCACTACAAAAACGTAAAAGGAGTTTCTTCCTGGATTCAAACAGCAACAGTGGGCCAGGCAGCCGAGCTGCTCACGCCGCCGTCTGCCCCTGCGCTGGCCTGCAGGTCAGGAGGCCCGGAAGCCGAGGGCCTCGTGTGCTCCCAACACGGGCTGCCCGGCGTGGCCAAGTTCACAAGGCAGCAGGTGTCTGGCGGGAGGTCGTGGCTGGAGCCTCAGACCCGAGCCCTGCCCTGGAGCAGGTGTCCACACCCCCACCCCCGTCCCCGTCCCCACGGGCTGGGCTGGGCCCTGGGAGGCTGCGCCCCACAGCCCACATGCCCAGGGCTCCCTGCCTGCAGTCCTGTGAGGCCCTGACACTCTTTCCAGAACAGGACCACTCTTGCGGGGGGGGCAGTTCTGTGCCCACGACGACCTGAGGCGCCCACCACAGAGACACAAAGACACGGAGGACCGCTCGCACTTCACGGTGCTTCAGCTACGTCACTGGAAGCCCAACCCTAGCGGGCAGGTTTGGCGTTAATTCCAGCTTCAAAAACCGGCAACCAATTATATCCTAGATTCCACTAGAAACAGCAACACAACTTTCACACTTGATTTCCCATGACGGATTAGTGATGGAGCTGCAAGGGGAGACCTAAAAACGCCATAAACACCGTACTCTTCCCAAAGCAAGGCCTCAGCACAGGGCCCTGCACGAGGCACCCCACTGCAGAGCAACACAGCCGGGCAAGGGGGTGTCGACCAAGGAGCCTGCTGCCTGGGCAGCCCCTGCGTCCTCCCATGAGGCAGCTGAAAATCAGGTCCGAGAACCTCCTGCCAGCTTCACAAGTGACATCAGGCTTTCCCCTGCTGAACCAAACAGGAGTTCGATCCAACTCACAAGTCTGAGAAGTCTCTGAAGCTGCTGGGTCCCGGCTCCTTCGACACCCATCGTGACATCAGGAAATAAGAGGCCTCTCCCTGGGGTCACATCTGCTACTCTTGATCCAAAAGAACCACGTGTACGCCCATCATGAGACCTTCCCTCCAAAACATCCCTTTTAAAATACGCCATGCTGCAGCAAAGGAAACCATAAACAAAACAAAAAGGCAACCCACAGTACGGGAGAAAATATTTGCAAGCAATGCGACTGACACGGGATTAATCTCCGAAATATACAAACAGCACATGCTGCTCAATATCAAAAAAACGAACAACCCAGTCAAAAAATGGGCAGAAGACCTAAACAGACATTTCTCCAAAGAAGACATACACAGATGGCCAAGAGGTACATGAAAAGATGCTCAACATCACTAATTATTAAAGAAATGCAAATCAAAACTACAATGAGGTGTCACCTCACACCGGTTAGAATGGCCATCAGCAGAAAGTCGACAAACAATAAATGCTGGAGAGGGTGTGGAGAAAAGGGAACCCTCCTGCACTGCTGGTGGGAATGTAAACTGATACAGCCACTATGGAGAACAGTATGGAGGTTCCTTAAAAAACTAAAAATAGAGCTACCATACGATCCAGCAACCCCACTACTCGGTGTGTACCCTGAGAAAACCATACTTCGAAAAGATACACACATCCCTACATTCACAGCAGCACTATTCACAATATCCAGGACATGGAAACCACCTAAGTGTCCATGGACAGATGAATGGATAAATAAGATGTGGTACATATATACAACGGAATATTACTCAGCCATAAAAAAGAATGAAATAATGCCATTTGCAGCAACATGGATGGACCTGGAGATAATCATACTAAGTGAAGTCAGTCAGAGAAAAACAAATATCATATGATATCACTTATATGTGGAATCTAAAAAAATGATACAAATGAACTTATTTACAAAACAGAAACAGACTCACAGACTTACAAAACAAACTTATTGTTACCAAAAGGGAAAGGTTGGGGGGGATAATTTAGGAGGTTAGGATTAACATATACACGCTTCTATATATAAAATAGATAATCAATAAGGACTACTGTATAGCACAGGGAACTCTACTCCATGTTCTATGGTAACCTATATGGGAAAACAATCTGAAAAAGAATGAATATATGTCTATGTATAACTGAATCACCCTGCTGTACACCTGAAACTAACACAACATTGTAAATCAACTATACTCCAATATAAAATAAAAATTAAAAAACTAAAACTAAAAAAATAAAATAAGCCATGCTAAAAAAAAAAAACAACAGCTGCTGCAAATAACTCACTCTTCTGAAACCTGGAAACTCGTTAAAGCACTGAGGAGAGAAAGGCCTGGCAGGCCGACAGCCAGAACTGACTATGTCCATGCCCTAAGAAGTGTGCACCACACCCGGGACAGGTGTGGTGGGCCAGGGCGAGGCTCAAGGGGCCAAAGAAGTCAGGGCTGGGCCACTGTGGCGGGTGTTGCACAGCTGCCCACCCTGGCCCATGCCTGTGCTGGGGCCCCCAAAAGAGGGCTCTCGGTGAACACCCAGCCATTCACTCACCGGCCCACTCAGACGCCCGTCCAGAGACCCCTGCTCCTCCCTCGCAGGGATCCTAGGGGGCAGGGCAGCCGAGCAGGCCCCTGCAGCTCCCACGGCTGGACACCCCAATTTCAAACTCGCTAATGGGGCAGCTGACGCCTACACTTTGATTATCGAATGCTCGTTTGCTTGAAAAATGATGTCTGCAGAAATATAAAGGAATGTTTAAATAATACTCATGAAAAGCAACGGGATTAATATGGCTATGAAGTGATGATGGTCTTTTGGACACCAAAGTCTAGGAAAATGGACACTAGGGATGTGTGATGAGCCTCTGAGAGAGCAAGCTGGGGATGGAAGCAGAAGTCCCCCAAGAAGTGACCGTGGGACCCTGGAAGTGACGACACCTCTCTGCAGCACTGAAAAGTCTCCAGTGGTTACAGACACGGGAAAGCAACAGCCTCTGGGCATGAGGGCCACGGGGCTGGTCTGGCCAGCGGCTCCGCGGGCAGGCGTGGCAGGCGCTGCGCCCAGGACACCTGTCAGCTTCCCTGGGTACCGCGTGCACAGTCACTGGTTCTGACAAAAGCGGAGTCAGACATGCACGCGACGCCGGGGGGAATCCAAACAGCAGCGCTGGCCTCAAACACGCCGCAGTAACGGCACTATCACCGCTCTGGATCTCATAAACTCAAACAGGTAACTATGCAGTATCCATTCAGAGGCAAAGAAACACAACTCTGTCTCAAAATGTAACTTAAATGCCTTGGATAAAAGGTCATGGAAGAGCAATCCCCCACATTCGCAGCAGGCAGCACGGGTGGCCTGGGACGCACACCACCCGGGGCCCCACCCGGCCCCAACCCACGCCGGGAGGCTGCCTGTCGTCACCCCTCCGCGGGCGCAAGGCCAGCTCTGGGAGCGACTCAGGGAATGGCCTTACGGACCGGGCCACCGAGGCCGGCAGGGAAGTGACTTCCCAGGAGCCCCGACGCGGGCCCGCACAGCACGGCGCTGCCCCCAGGAGCCCCCGAGGCCCCAGCACACACACCCAGGCAGTCTGGCTTGAACAGCGACCCAGAGGAGGGCTGTATGCATGGGCCATGTTCATCCCAGCCTTACGTCAGGGAGGAGGTCAAACTTGTCACACTGAACACAGCCTTCCATTTCAGAAGGCCCTCAGGGGAGGCCAGGGGCCACAGACCCTGCCCAGGTCCCCCTCCCTGCACCCCTCACCCCTCCACTCAGGACGCTCTGGAAACAAAACAGGCCAACGTGCACGAGCAACAAGAACGACACGACGAGTTCAAGCAGCCAGAAAGCCATTCAGGGCTTCGTTTTTAAATAATTTTAACATCTTTCTTAGTATAGAGGTAAGTGTTCATGAGAGAAAACCTGAGAAACATGGAGATGTACAAGGAAGACAGAACTCTCCAGAAACCCCATCTCCTTTGGCTACTAGACTGTGTATTTCCTTCCACTCTCTGTCCTACGTGCACATGTATAACATATGTGTTTTGATAACCATAAAGAAAATTGGGGTAATTCTGTTGATATCTGGCTTGGTAATTTCTTTTCAGAACCGTAATTTTCAGTGGTTACATGGTATTTCATCCAGAATGTATTTATGATTTCTTTATTGATGAAGACAGGCATTTTCTATTTTTTGTTACCGTGGGAGCTCAGGTTCTTCAATTACAACGCGCAGCACAAACCCACATCAGCCGCGTTAAGGCCACGCTGCTTGGCTGTGACCGAGCCTCCGCGTGCTCATACATAAGACAGGCACAACACCGCCTGTTTGGGAGGCCGGGCGCCGACGCGGCCACAGAGCAGAGTGAGCTCCGCAGGGGTGGGGCCGCGTCCCCCACCGCAGCCCAAGCACAACCAGCAACCCTTAAGGACTGAATGAATCCCAGCCTCCCTCAGTCACCAGAGTTCAACATCAACTCGAGTGTTCTTACCCAATGTTACGGTTTTTCTGACCCCTTTCATGCCAACATTTTTCACTGTATTTTTAACCAAGATGTAGGTCAGCCAGAGCTACACTACAAATTAAACAGGCATTTTCTGCCCCGCATGGGAACGTCCACCTGCAAGACATCGCTTCTGGGGAAATGTTCTTCAGCACGACCTTCGGGGGCTCCGGCCTCGACCTCACCCCCGTCACACACGCTCGTCCGTCACACACGCTCGTCCTTCAACCTGGGCTCAGGGGGGCGAGGGGGGGGGCTCCCAGCTGCGCTGGCACAAGCAGGGAACAGCGGCCGGGTCAGACGGACCAGACCCCTCCCTGCCCCCCCTCCCACCCCGACAAGGGTCCCCAGCACCGTCACCTGCTGGACGGCGCAGAGAGTGCGCTACGAAAGGCAGATCCTCCACAACCAAGATGTGCAAA